GAGGATTTCCACCGAGGGGCCGACCAAGTCGACTGGTCTAGGCCGCCCGAACAAGTACTTCGAAAGCTAGCAGCTAGTAAAGGAAACATAAAGAAACTAAAGGATTTGATGGAACAGATCATAAATCTATGATCTATATGCCTAGTGGACGCGCTAGGCTGGGCCCCCTCTTCTTGTAGGGAAGGGGACTCGCCCCGAGCGCCAGTTATGTTCGCTACGCTACTGACCAAGGGGGCGCCATAATAGGATCTCACTCCATCCTAAAACTTGCCTCGGGCCGGCACTGCCAACAACCACCGGTCAGTTCCCTGGTGGACCCAGGAACTGAGTGTCCTACGAAAACATGTGAGGGTGCTCTGTCGACGCTTTCAACAATGCAGGGATGATGACCTTTGGGCAACCAGGAAACTGGAATTCCGGAGAGCCAATGCTGAGTACAAGTACAAATTGAACGATGCTAAAAAGACCTCATTGCTCAGTTTCTGTCAGGAAATCAGTGACAATAACCCATTCTAATCCCCTACAATCTAGTGGTGGGCAAGGTTAAGCGTAGTACGGTCTTGGAGTCTATCAAAAGACCAGATGGTACCCTAATCTCCACATAGGAGGAATTGTTTCAGGTGCTGCTCTGCTCGCATTTTCCATGTGATGAGCGGTCTGACAATACCGAAGAACAGAGGCGGCTTCAAAGTGATGTGGAGCTGCCCGTTCTTGAGGCTGAGATGCCTGTGTCAGTGACCGACTCTGAGGTAGCCTACACCATTGACAACCTACGGAAAGGGAAGGCACCTGGCGTTGATGGGATCACGGCCTAAATGGTACAGGTTCTGTAACATGAACGTCCTGGCCTGCTCCGTGCTCTGTATCAGAGGTGTCTGCTCCTGGGTCATTTCCCAGTGCAGTGGAAATGGGCGCGTCTTGTGTTTATTCATAAGAATAGGTGCCCGAAGAATGAACCGAAGTCATATAGATCAATAAGTCTCTTGCCAGTCCTAGGGAAGGTTCTATATAGAATACTTAGTGACAGAGTGTATTACCACTTAACGCGGAAAGGGCTGTTACACCCACACCAATATGGGTTCCGGCCGGACTTGTCTACCTGCCGTGCACTACATCGGTTTCTCTGGTTTACCAGAACCGCCGGCAGGGTCTCCACACGTCGCTCATTTCGATGGACGTCACGGGGGCTTTTGACAATGTCTGGTGGCCATCCATAGTGGGTAAACTGAGGAAGGCGAACCTGCCAACCACCCTTGTATTGCTTACCAGGAGTTTCCTGGGCGACCGCGAGGTAATTTACAAAACACCAAGTGCAAGCTATACGAAGATACTGGAGAGGGGTTGTCCCCAAGGATCCTGTATCGGCCCTTTACTTTGGAACGTTCTAGCAGACACAGTACTGCGACTAGTCCTTCAGAATGATGCCCAGTTGCAGGCATATGCAGATGATCTGTTGCTAATAGTTGCTGGCCACAGCTGTAGCGACATGGAGAGTCGTGGCAACGAAGCAATAGAATGACTCGTTCGCTGGGGAGAGCTGCACAAGCTCTTGTTCAGCCCCGAGAAATCGGAGGCCCTAACGGTGGCCCGAACCGGAGTGTTGGCTTGCTGACCAATATTCCGGATTCGGGGTAACCCCATCAGAGAGGTGAATGAGTTAAAGTACCTCGGTGTTATCATCGATCAGACACTATGCTGGATGCCCCACCTGAGGAATGTTCGCGAAAGAACAAACCTCATGATAGCGGCACTATCAAGACTAGCTAGACAAGACTACGGCCTAAGCGGAGAAGTGCTTCGAGCCATCTATAAGATGTGCGTAGAGCGTGTTATCTGCTATGCCTGTGGTGTTTGGTGGAAAGGCTCTGCCAATGTCAAACAGAGCAAGATGTTGCTCACGATCCAGTGACCCAATGCCCTGCGGATCACGAGAGCGTACAGAACTGTGTCTACGGAGGCGGCCCTGGTCTTGGCCGGGCTGCTTGGTGGTCAGCCAAGAGGCGGCCTTTTACAGAACCACAGTAGAAGGAATAGAGGCCATGCATTGTAATCAGAAGTACCCAGTTAGAGTTAGGCATAGAGTAGATGTCTTCAAGGTCCATCTGGCCCATAGGAATGGACTCGACTGGGATGTCAGTGAACCAACTGGTACGGGTGTTGAAATATACACCGATGGCTCAAAAGACGGCAGCTTAGTAGATGCCGTGTACTGCGTCTTCTGTGACAAAGTGCAAGTGTACGAACAGTCAGTCAGACTGAATGAGGAAGCGTCCATGTTCCAGGCAGAACTGGTGGCCCTGGAGTCCACCAGTTCTGCCTGTCCCAGTGGATCCTATCACATCTGGGTCCAGAGCCGGTCACAGTTTACTCTGATAGCCAGTTGTCGCTACAGCCTTTAAACGACGGGTACCATCACAATTCACTGGTACATGAGATCAGATGCATGGTACTGAGGGCGAGGCACGAATGACACGTTGTACTTGACTGTCCTCTTACTGAGGATTTCCACCGAGGGGCCGACCAAGTCGACTGGTCTAGGCCGCCCGAACAAGTACTTCGAAAGCTAGCAGCTAGTAAAGGAAACATAAAGAAACTAAAGGATTTGATGGAACAGATCATAAATCTATGATCTATATGCCTAGTGGACGCGCTAGGCTGGGCCCCCTCTTCTTGTAGGGAAGGGGACTCGCCCCGAGCGCCAGTTATGTTCGCTACGCTACTGACCAAGGGGGCGCCATAATAGGATCTCACTCCATCCTAAAACTTGCCTCGGGCCGGCACTGCCAACAACCACCGGTCAGTTCCCTGGTGGACCCAGGAACTGAGTGTCCTACGAAAACATGTGAGGGTGCTCTGTCGACGCTTTCAACAATGCAGGGATGATGACCTTTGGGCAACCAGGAAACTGGAATTCCGGAGAGCCAATGCTGAGTACAAGTACAAATTGAACGATGCTAAAAAGACCTCATTGCTCAGTTTCTGTCAGGAAATCAGTGACAATAACCCATTCTAATCCCCTACAATCTAGTGGTGGGCAAGGTTAAGCGTAGTACGGTCTTGGAGTCTATCAAAAGACCAGATGGTACCCTAATCTCCACATAGGAGGAATTGTTTCAGGTGCTGCTCTGCTCGCATTTTCCATGTGATGAGCGGTCTGACAATACCGAAGAACAGAGGCGGCTTCAAAGTGATGTGGAGCTGCCCGTTCTTGAGGCTGAGATGCCTGTGTCAGTGACCGACTCTGAGGTAGCCTACACCATTGACAACCTACGGAAAGGGAAGGCACCTGGCGTTGATGGGATCACGGCCTAAATGGTACAGGTTCTGTAACATGAACGTCCTGGCCTGCTCCGTGCTCTGTATCAGAGGTGTCTGCTCCTGGGTCATTTCCCAGTGCAGTGGAAATGGGCGCGTCTTGTGTTTATTCATAAGAATAGGTGCCCGAAGAATGAACCGAAGTCATATAGATCAATAAGTCTCTTGCCAGTCCTAGGGAAGGTTCTATATAGAATACTTAGTGACAGAGTGTATTACCACTTAACGCGGAAAGGGCTGTTACACCCACACCAATATGGGTTCCGGCCGGACTTGTCTACCTGCCGTGCACTACATCGGTTTCTCTGGTTTACCAGAACCGCCGGCAGGGTCTCCACACGTCGCTCATTTCGATGGACGTCACGGGGGCTTTTGACAATGTCTGGTGGCCATCCATAGTGGGTAAACTGAGGAAGGCGAACCTGCCAACCACCCTTGTATTGCTTACCAGGAGTTTCCTGGGCGACCGCGAGGTAATTTACAAAACACCAAGTGCAAGCTATACGAAGATACTGGAGAGGGGTTGTCCCCAAGGATCCTGTATCGGCCCTTTACTTTGGAACGTTCTAGCAGACACAGTACTGCGACTAGTCCTTCAGAATGATGCCCAGTTGCAGGCATATGCAGATGATCTGTTGCTAATAGTTGCTGGCCACAGCTGTAGCGACATGGAGAGTCGTGGCAACGAAGCAATAGAATGACTCGTTCGCTGGGGAGAGCTGCACAAGCTCTTGTTCAGCCCCGAGAAATCGGAGGCCCTAACGGTGGCCCGAACCGGAGTGTTGGCTTGCTGACCAATATTCCGGATTCGGGGTAACCCCATCAGAGAGGTGAATGAGTTAAAGTACCTCGGTGTTATCATCGATCAGACACTATGCTGGATGCCCCACCTGAGGAATGTTCGCGAAAGAACAAACCTCATGATAGCGGCACTATCAAGACTAGCTAGACAAGACTACGGCCTAAGCGGAGAAGTGCTTCGAGCCATCTATAAGATGTGCGTAGAGCGTGTTATCTGCTATGCCTGTGGTGTTTGGTGGAAAGGCTCTGCCAATGTCAAACAGAGCAAGATGTTGCTCACGATCCAGTGACCCAATGCCCTGCGGATCACGAGAGCGTACAGAACTGTGTCTACGGAGGCGGCCCTGGTCTTGGCCGGGCTGCTTGGTGGTCAGCCAAGAGGCGGCCTTTTACAGAACCACAGTAGAAGGAATAGAGGCCATGCATTGTAATCAGAAGTACCCAGTTAGAGTTAGGCATAGAGTAGATGTCTTCAAGGTCCATCTGGCCCATAGGAATGGACTCGACTGGGATGTCAGTGAACCAACTGGTACGGGTGTTGAAATATACACCGATGGCTCAAAAGACGGCAGCTTAGTAGATGCCGTGTACTGCGTCTTCTGTGACAAAGTGCAAGTGTACGAACAGTCAGTCAGACTGAATGAGGAAGCGTCCATGTTCCAGGCAGAACTGGTGGCCCTGGAGTCCACCAGTTCTGCCTGTCCCAGTGGATCCTATCACATCTGGGTCCAGAGCCGGTCACAGTTTACTCTGATAGCCAGTTGTCGCTACAGCCTTTAAACGACGGGTACCATCACAATTCACTGGTACATGAGATCAGATGCATGGTACTGAGGGCGAGGCACGAATGACACGTTGTACTTGACTGTCCTCTTACTGAGGATTTCCACCGAGGGGCCGACCAAGTCGACTGGTCTAGGCCGCCCGAACAAGTACTTCGAAAGCTAGCAGCTAGTAAAGGAAACATAAAGAAACTAAAGGATTTGATGGAACAGATCATAAATCTATGATCTATATGCCTAGTGGACGCGCTAGGCTGGGCCCCCTCTTCTTGTAGGGAAGGGGACTCCGCTGTCCGTTACATTGAGAGTCTGAACTATAATGTATGTAAGTGAGCTAAAAAGATTTAGTATTGTGGACCATTAAGTGCATAGCAGACTGCACAACATAAAAGTTATGCCAGGTTAGAGGGCTGGGCCTGGGTGCGGATGGGAGCCCGAAAGATGTACGATGTGGCCCAGCTATGTTGTTCCTGTCTACCATGTCAGGTATCAGACCGAGCCGATAAACAAGGCATAGTCTCTTTAATCCTGCAGTGCCAATAGGTGGGGCAGGGAAAGAGTTCCTTATGAGGCTTAGCAAGCCCATTACGGGTTCGGCAAGGTCTGCAATTGGATGGCCGGGTGGTGAGGGGCCGGGCCCGACACATCCTTACGGACCATTTCCCGAAAAATTCCTGGGATTTTCGACCTTTTCAGATTCGATCCTGGGTCCCTCAGAGCTGTAGGTTACCATCTTAACTTCTCGACCATTTGGCTGTTAAAATTTATGCATTAATAATTCTTATTTGATGATACATCTTCACACTATTACTGTATACACAGGATGTCCAAGATGGTAAACACATCAACCAGCTATTCTAAGATACCCGGATTCAAGTTAGGCTCTGCTCAGAATTTTTGTTTGGTGACTTGATAGGTATTTCTCAGTGTGAATTCGTGATGGCTATGGAAAAACCTTCTGTTAGTTTTACAGAAAGAGTTTTTAATTTTTTACTCTCTTTTCAGGATCCCTTATCCTGAGAAACTTCTACCGCCCCACCAATCTGTACCACATCATGAAAGACTATCTGAATAACAGGTATGCCATTCTACAAAAGGGCCAACATCACGTTAAAAAAAGGATCACCAGAGGATTCCACAAGGCTCTGTCTGCGGACCTCTCCTCTGGAACGTCACATTCAACGCTTTCCTCCAATAGAACTTTGGTCAAGATAAACTAATAGCATATGCGGACGATGTCTTGGTCCTGATAGGGATTCTCTCTAGGGCTGACTTCGGCACAGAGGCAGCTACATGCTAAGGGAAATCCACAACTGGGGAGTTAAACACAAACTGAACTTTAATCCTCTCAAAACCAAAGGCATTGTACTAAATAAATCTGGCCAACCTAATGTTTATTTAAGGGTCCCCAGATCAAGATGGATGGTAAAAACATCAAAATAGAAAAACACCTCAAATACCTTGGTGTAATATTGGACAATCGCCTCTTCTGGAACGGTCACGTTGAAGCTGTCACCAACCGTATGGGTTGCTCAGGTAGCTAGAAGAACCTGGGGTCTCTCATCGGATGCCATGAACACAATCTACGACCAGATTTATATTCCCTTGGTCACTTATGCCTGCGGTGGCTGGGGGCTGGGCGTCCAACAAAGTCCACATCAAACGAAGGCTTATCTCATCTCAACGTCGGGCACTTATGCTCATTACTAAATGCTATCGTACTGCTTCAAATCGCAATATTGAAATCAACTCCAGGAAGCCCCCATCGACCTGATTAGCCAGCTCAATGGGAAGATACAAAGCATCAAACGGGGAGAAGCAATTAATTCCAGTGCCGCCTTATCAACTGCTACAATTATGAGTCTCCATATCCATTCCCCAATACCCTTCTCTTTGAAAATGATTTCAAGAACCTCGATAACTACTTCACAAATCTCCACTGTGGAAATCTTCACTGACGGGTCCAAAATCCACGACTCTGTCGCCTGCAGTTTTGTTGTCTACATCAATCAGGTTGAAGTACACTTCTAGTAATATCGTCTCAGTCACTTATGCACTGTTTTTCAGGCTGAGCTCTCCTTGCCATAAAAATGATCCTCCTCTGGTCTACAACTACTTCTCCAGTTACATCCAAATCATCACTGACTGTTTATCTGCGTACTCCTTAATCAAGGGCAATAATCTACACCCATTCGCCACGGAGATCAGGAACATCATCAACAGTATTAGTAATACCATCTCCATTACCTGGACACGTGCCCATCAGAGCACTCCTGGTAATGAGTGTGCTGACTAGCTTGCCAAAGCAGCCACTACGGACAATACCATCCCTGTCATCTACGACAAGATAAGGAAGCACACCTTACGCCAGCTCCACTGGAAGGACACCCTCTCTACCTGGCAAAACATGTGAAACAGTAACAACACTTGCATTACCTATAACTATATTCCAAACATTAGTGACTTTATGAAGCTTGAGTGGTTTGTGCCGAGCTCAGTTTCTTACTGGACATGGAAAGTTCAGTGCATATCTCTCTTGTTTCGCCAACCATCCTTCACATCTTTGTCCTTTCTGTCAAGTTGAGGACAGCGGGACTCATTACATTTTTGACTGTCCCATTCTTGAAGCAGAGCAACTGGAGATTAGAATTCTATTACAGAACCTTGGCATCCCTTGGTCATGCCACTCTTACTCACTTGTTAACAAGGAAATCTATCGCGCCTTCTCCAGACTGGCAAAGAAATACTGCCAACTGTCACCTGTAACGGCTTAATCTTGTAACATGTAACTCCCAGCCATATAGCTGTCTACTGTATATGCTTTAACTCCGGTTTTATATTACAGGTAACCCCCGTATAACACGGCACTTCTATAGCACGGTTCGAGAATTGGTACCATCCCCCGTATAACACGGTACTTTTATAACACGGATTCACTCTAACACGGTTCGAGAAATGGGTAAAACCCTCGTACAACATGAAATGTAATAAATTTTTACATACTTAAGTACTAATAGTTCACGAAAATTATTATTTTCGTGAACTATTAGTACTTCAGTGTGTAAATTTTCTTTTCTCGTCTCCATACATATGGTTCTTCGCGAAAAATGTTGCAATTTTGCCATATCNTATAATAAAATATTGTGCGATTATTTTCATATAATTAAAATTAATATGTATTTATTTTTTAGAAAATACAGGGGAAGCGGCGTATCCACCGCTTCTAATGACAGCACGCCACTGTTTTTTACAAACTGTCATTTCGATACAGATTTACAGTATTTACTCGCATATAAGACGAGGTTTTTATTCATTTTTCACTTTTCAAAAAACTTAGGTCATGATATCCCCGTGAGCGAAAACTATAAAACTATACCTGTGAGCGAAAGATGTTTTCGCTTTTGCAATAATTTTTGTAAACTGTGTATTCGCATTTTTTATCGGATTCTCACCTTCTGATGTTTAAAAACAAAAGTATTTTATCTGGATCCTTTGAATCCTTCTTGTGTATTGTCAGGAGTAAAGATAAATAGCAATAGGAAAAGCAAAGCTTTTAAATTTAATTCCAAAATTACACCGAAACCCGATATAAGTTATAATTCAATCCCACGTGAAAACAGATGACTATTTGGAAATCAGAATTTGGAGAAATTCATAAATGTAATCGACGTGTGGATTTGACTGCTAAGAATTGGCAAAAAATGGTTCTAGATTGTCCAGTTTTACTATGAACAAATTATGTTGTCGATTTTACAAGATTTTTCCTTGAAGTTTAAAATGCCAGTAATTTTTGCGGGACAGTGTGTGCATTTACGTGCATTTAATATTTTGTGATTAAACGAAATAAAATTAGAATTGTATTGATAAATCTATTTTTTTTTATTTTGATCTTTAAAGTCACACCTCGTCCTAATGTGAGATCGTCTTATATGCGAGTAATTACGGTACTTATTACCTGTAGAGTTTCTGGTGTATTACTGTATTCTAAATTATTCATTTCGATGGCAGTTGAATTTCCATCGCTAGTTTCCAAATCTTTTTGGCATAATTTTAAAAATACTTCTTCCAGCGTATTCATGTGATGTTCTTTCATTAAGGTCTCGGGATCGGCGTGGGCCAACAGGCGCCCTCTTCTTAAAAGTCCTACCTGAGGGAATAAATTTGTAAAACATTCAATATATGACCAATAATATTTTAAATTTATGAAATATAATATGACACACGACTAAAAATATAGTTTATAAACAACCGGAGATCTCCAGTATCAGATTTTAAGGTGAATTCGTTGTCTACTTGTTTGTTCTAATTGTAGGAAGGAAGGACTAAATATGAAGAGGATGTCGCTAATGTAGAATTATTAACCCAATTGCGAAATAAAATCTTCTAATGTTTATCCTGAAAATAAACACTAAATGGAGCCACTTGGTCTTTTACCGTTAGTATTTGCTTTCGATATCGAGCTGCCATTTTGATTATAGTGCCTATTACACGTTGTTAGAATATTAGTCTGTACAAAGCGAACTGACGAATCACAATTATGCAAAAGCTCATCCGATAATAATTAAATTAGCCGTGTTAATTATAAATAAATAGTCGCGATAAAATTATCTATTGCAAACATTTATTGATAACATATTGGGATATTTTAAGTGAATGCAGAAAATCTGCTGCAGTTTTCTGAAAGGTAATATTACATTGTATTTTAAATCACATATTTTTTTAACTCTCCACACTCGAGCATTAAGAGGCCTTTTTAGCAAGCCCACCCCCCAGGTAAAGAACCGAGCCTGGACATGGCGGGGTGGCCTGGCGGCGATAGACGACGGGTACTGAGTCCCAAAAGACTCGTCTTGGTCTCGATTGCTGGTGGAGTCTTGTGACTTAAGCCTAAGGTTACAGAGGTGTCAGTTTATCATAGGCTTTGGGTCTGTATACCAAGCCTTTTTAAAGATTGCTGTCCGATTGTCATTCTCTGGTGGGGGACGACCCTGGCGGCGTTTCTAATTTCTCTCTAAACTGGAACCTATCCCCGCTAGAGCAGACGGCTACTAAAGCTGCTAATTGGCATTGTGGCATGCAGACTCACACTAAAACAGAAGGGAGACGGGGCGATCCTTAATAGTATCGGCGATAAGAGGGCCAAAATGAGCCCTCAGTAAGTTCGGAGCTGGAGGATGATCGCTGTAGCCGTTACTAATATGGTTCCTAAGGAGGACTTGTCTTCGGACGAGATATGCAGAGTGTAGTCGATTGGACTTGTCCAAAGCAAATCAGTGGATTGTGGGATCCTGCTCGCTGGCCATAAGCGGTAGTCCTGCCGATGGAAGTGTAAGCACCCATTGGCCTGCGGTGTGATGGCACTCGATAGAGGTGCTATCGAAATGTGGTAGGGACTCTTTGCTTCGGTGAACGGTCCCGAGTCCCCTACTCGCGATGGTCAAATCATCTGCTTGTAGCGAGATACGCATTGTACTCTGGGCCGACAGGTTATGTCCCTGATAACACATACAGGAGCACACAGCGGACACCGAAACTTCTGGATTCAAATCCTGCGTCGGTACAGAGACTGGAGACCAAGGACATGACAATCCGCACCCTCTGGGATGTGAGACACACAAAGCAAACTCCTGCATCTACCCGGTGGCATCAGGCCAATGTTTCCTCTTAAAGGGCGGTTGAATGCAGCCGACTTAGCCCTAGCCCGTGGTAACGCAAACCACGTAAAGCTCCTTCTGTCTGGTAAAAGAAGAACCAGTGTCCCAAGAGGAAGACCGGGCTTTGCACACCTGGTGCTGGCTTGGGGGCCACGACCTGCATGCCGAAGCCAGTGGGGTGAGGAGTCGTACTCCCATGCCGAAGCCTCACTGGTGGCCAGGGGGATATCGTCCTCAGTGGATTGTGGGATCCTGCTCGCTGGTGTCTATCCTGGCGGGCAGTTGGCAGAGCCGTTCCTTGGACATAGGGCCACCTTCCCTATCTCCTTGGGGGAGTGGTGCTTAAAGGCCTGACAATGCGTTGCATGGCCATATATGATCATGGAGGACTGGAAACAGGAAGAGCATCTCCTAGTAGGGATGATGGGGCGGCCCAAGCTGAGCAACCAGCCAGGCTGGGGTAACCTTGGGTAGGAGGCCACTTAAATGGGTAGCTGTCCCGGCAGCGGGCCAAGCAGTGACGACCCGGAAATAAGAGGGCCAAAACAAGCCCTCAGTGAGTCCGAAGTCAGAGCTAGCTCTTAAATGCACACTCTGATTCCTGAACAGGGTCAGGGCACCCGTGAAAGGTCATGATCACCCTAATTCCTCCGTTATTTTTTTCTTGTTAATTTGGTTACAATGTAAATTGCGTGCGATATGGCTCTTAGTGTGACTGGTACTAATGAAGCTACCATTGTTACGAGACCTGACGAGATGCCTTTGGGAGGAGAGAAAGCAAAAAGTAGCAAAGATGGTGCTACACCAAAAGAGAAGCGGACCTTGCGGAAATGCAAGCCTGCTGTTGATCCATTGCAACCACCTCAGCAACCCGATGTTGAAGGGACCAAAGACACTGTCAAAGTGTCCATCCCCATAGAGGCCAGCAGATCCGCTTTGGACTCTGGTTCTGATTCTGGGGATAACAGTAGTGAGGTGTTTGACACTGCATCCTCTAGCAAGGAGAGCGAGTGGAGGCCCGCTCCTGCCAATAGCCGAGCAAGGCGAAGGCAAAGAAGGGCAAAGGCAGCCAAAGCAAAGGTAGTGGAATCCTGCTGTGACAAGCCAAAGGAAGAACCCACTGGCACTGCGGCGACCATAGCAAAGGGAAAACCCATAGCTAAAAACAAAGGCAGGCCAAAATCCAAAAAAGGCTCTACCACAGAGCAGCTGGGAACACAAGTCCAGCAGTGAATGCTGAAACACTGTTGTCGGCACCTGTGGTGACACAGGGTAAGCTTGAAACGGTAAAGGAAAGGTGTGTCGCTTTAGACGGTGTACACAATGAGCTTACTAAGCTCTTGGCCAAAACTGATAATCAATGTCAAAAGTCAACGTGTGCGACTATTTACAGTCTCTTCAGCAAAGTCACTGCCATCCTTAGCGTCCAGGAGGTTGAGATTGCCTCTCTCCGGGTGGAGAACAAGACCCTGAGGGAGGTCTTGGATGGCAAACAGTCACCACTCACACTTTCATCAGCTAATAAACACAGCAAAGCAGTCAAGCCTAGTGGTGCCATGTATGCCACCATCGCTGCTTGCCCGGCCCCACAGCATACCCAAGAGGGGGACACGGGCTAATGCAAAGCCAAAAAGGGTTCTATCTACGGAGCATACACTCCTGGTCTACCCTAAGGACAAAACGATGAGTAGCGAATACACATGTGAGCTACTAAAGACGTACATCAACCCCACCAAGCTAGGAGTTGGCATTAAAAATGTACACCAAATCCAAAACAATGGCATTCCGGTAGAGGTAACGAAGGGCCAGGATGTCGCGAGACTTAAAAAGGAAGTGACGGAAGGCCTGTCGGCGTTGCGGGTCAGCACTTTTGGGGTAGTCGAATGTCGACTACCCCAAAAGTGACGACCGAGGCTAATTTTGTTCGATGTCAGCCCGGACATCAAGAGCAAGTCCCTCGTGGAGACTCTAATAAGTCAAAATAGCATCAAGGTGGAGCCTGGGGAACTCCAACCTCGTTTCCCTCTTAAGGGAAAGGGAGGCCTGGTAAACTGGGTACTATAGGCCTCCCTTAGAGTCTACAATGACCTCCTGAAAAGGGGTAAGTTACATGTTGGATGGACTCGAAAATAGGGTGAAGGGATATTTGGCAATCACCCAGTGCTACAAGTGCTATGGGTTTAATCACGTAGCAAAGGGTTGTTCAGCAGCAGCCCAAGCTTGTAGCAGGTGCGCCGAGGGCCACTCCTACAAGGAGTGTAAGGCCACCACACTTAGATGTATTAATTGCATCAAAGCAAACCAAAAGTTTGGTCTACAGATGGGGACCATCCACTCAGCAATGAGTGCCAGCTGCCCGTGTTATACACGGGAGCTCGAGAGAGCTCAGGCTCGGACTGACTTTGGTCAGTAAACGGGAATGTGTCTCTTGTGTTCGATACTGCCTTCTTTAACACACAGCAGATGAACGAGTGCGGCTGCAAAATACTGCAGTTTAATGCTGAGAAGTGTTGCGCCGCTACCGCCCAATTAAAGGTGGAAGTGGCGGAGCGGGAAATTGATATCATCCTGCTCCAAGAGCCATACCTAGTACATGGAAAAGTCAGTGGTCTCTCATTACAATGGAATGCCTTTGCCCAAGAAGGTGATGATTGTCAAACTGCAGTTATTTTCACACGCAGGGATGTTGATGCATACGCTATCCATATCTCACGACTCGTGGTGGCCATAGAGATATGGTCACCCACTTGCACCTGGGTCGTGGTCTCCACTTATCGCCCGCCGTCACTTTAACTCGGAGGCCTTTTGAGTAAACTCAAAGGGGTTGTCCTACCCTGCAGTCGGGTTGTCTTGGCCAGTGACTTTAACACCAAGCACTCACTGTGGGGGTCCCCCGTGGACGATCCAGACAGGAACATGATGAAGGAGACGGTGGAGGGGTGGGGTCTGCATATCCTGAATAACCCGTTCGGAATTGCTACCTACTCCTCATCTCTGGGTGAAAGCTGGATTGACCTTTCCATCGTTAGTGGAACTATGCTGAGACTGACCTCGCAATGAGAAACGATCGGTGCGGAAAGCTGTAGCAACCATCGCTTCATTACTTTTGAGGTGATGTGTAGCTCGATTGCCTGGCTGAGCTGTTGTTATAAGCTTACCGCTGGAAACCGCAATCACTTTAGCAAATGCCTCATTGAAAAGACAGCCGATATCGCCACCCAAGTCTCTAAGGTTGAGAGTGTCAGGGATCTGGAGGAAGTTGTGGCCAACCTTACCAAGGCTATTAGAGGAGCAGGAGACTGCACACTCACGCGATGGCGGCCCAACAACCAGAGCCGGCTCTACCATAGGGCGAAAGGAGCAGCCGCTCCAGGCGCTAAGTCCTAGAGGGCGCCTCAGTGGTAAAGAAAATTAAAGGGTATAAATTTGGGGCAACCAAGGACAGTGGCGTAGCAAGGGAGTGCAAGGAGGTGTATCAAGCACTGGGCGCCAC